CACTGCGTCCTCGGCGGAAACGACGGCAGCGACGGTGTAAGTTACGACGGAAGATCCTTAATCGTCAATGGAGAACACAAACTTTTCTTCTCAGGCTCTATTCATTATCCGCGGAGCACTCCGGATGTAAGTTTAATTTCTTTCTTTCTTCATCCATCTCTGATCTTCTGTGATAATTCCAATGATTTCTGTTTCTAATTTGAGTTTAAGAGTCATGGCGGCCGAATTTTCACTGTTTCAATTATTTTGGCGGGAAACGATTTTTCTATTTTCCGTTTCGCATTGCTGTGCAATACGTGTTAGGTTAGTTCAAATGCGGTTTGTTGTCTAGCGTTAGGCGAAGCACATAGCCATAGTGGTTCATCATTCATGTTTGCTCATTCTTTTCAATCTACTTTTCTAAAATGGAATTTCTGTGTCTTTTCCCCCCTCATTTTCAGAAACGGTGTTTTGATTAATAAAACTTGCCGCCAATAAATGAAGTGAATTACTGTTTACGGTATTATTCAATTTTTAAGATTAAATTTTACTTGATTAAGGAATAAATTATTTTGGAATTTCTATTTTGTTTCAGTGATAGAATCGGAACTAAAAAAGTTATGAGATTAGTTACGAATGTTGCGTGTCTAGAAAAGCATGATACGTGATTTGTGTTCAGTTTTTTAATAAGGTCTATTGTTATTATTACTATTAAATATGAAATATAGTGATTTTTTCAAGTGATGTTGGGATTGACGATTATATTAATGATTTTTGAACAAAAACATATTTAGTTTCTATTTTTTTTTAATACCGTCTCATTAAGTTACGGTAATTCAAAATATTATTTTTTGATCTTACAATTATTATGCATAAAAATATATTCTAATTTATTATGTTACATTTATGCCGTTAATTAATTTTTTTTTTGTAATAACATTACAAAAATTTGTATTATGTTGTTATATAAAATTTAAAATTTTCAACATAAAATTAAATAAAAATACTTATTGTAAATAGTGGTTAGTTTAATAAAGTTAATTTTTAAAAATAAATAAAGTTGAAGTTTTAGTTAAATTTTAATTATAAATATAAAAAAATTAAAAATTTAAAAATACTTTTTATTTTTTATTTTTTAACTTTTTTAAAACATTGTTTGAAAGTGAACGAAATCAAGCCCGCCATAAAAAACCCAACAAAAAGTATTCAAGAATCATGTGATTCGGGTCACCGCTCAATGGACGAATGGAAAATCTCCACATGAAATTCAAATCATCCGTGAACATGGCTATTACGAATCGGCTAGAAAAAGGCTGGGTCCCATTGTAGTTCAATTGGGCCTGGATCATCCCGTAAACCCGCAACATTTTTTTACGTGTGCTTTCAGTGTTGGAAATTATGATGATGGTTTTGTTAATTTGTTATGCAGATGTGGCCTTCTTTGATTGCCAAAGCAAAGGAAGGTGGAATAGACGTTATACAAACCTATGTCTTCTGGAACTTGCACGAACCCCATCAAGGAAGGGTAACTCAATCTCTCTACTCTCTGTATATCTCTAAAAGATGATAGACATGACATGAGCCGTGTAAAAAATTTTATTTTTTCAGTATGAATTTAGTGGAAGACGTGACATAGTAAAATTCGTTAAGGAAATACAAGCGCAAGGATTATATGCTTGCCTTAGGATTGGACCCTTCATTGAGGCGGAATGGAATTATGGGTAAGAACATATGAAACTTTTTCTCACAATTATTCCTTTATAAATAACCATTTCTCGGTCATTGTCTTAACTTTCTGATATACAGTGGTCTACCGTTTTGGTTACATGATATTTCGGGAATTGTTTATCGATCTGATAATGAACCATTCAAGGTGTGTTGAAGTATTGATATAATTAAATTTATAGTCCGTGAAATTTTAGCTTTTGTATTATGATAACCAAAGTGAAAGTTGTGTTTTCACGGTCACTCTGCACCTTCAATGACAGTTTTACATGCAAAACTTCACCACCAAGATAGTGAACATGATGAAATCCGAAGGCTTATATGCTTCACAAGGAGGGCCAATTATACTTTCACAGGTTTGAAGCAATGGGCCATAGCAACACTGAATGTTTTTTTAATTTATGTTCCATTGTTTTTTTTTTTCTTTTAACACTTTTAAGAGAACACATCGATGGAGTTGCAGATTGAGAATGAATACACGTTGGTGGAGGCAGCCTTTCGTGAGAAGGGACCGCCTTATGTTCGATGGGCAGCAGACATGGCTGTTAGCCTTCAGACCGGTGTGCCATGGAGCATGTGCAAGCAAAACGATGCACCTGACCCTGTGGTACGTATGTAAAAAAAACTTCAACTATACATTAATTTTCCTCTCTATGTCTACGTTTTCATTTCTTATATTGTTCATATATTAATTCGTAGATAAATACGTGTAACGGGATGAGATGTGGAGAAACGTTCCCAGGACCAAACACACCCAATAAGCCATCTATATGGACTGAGAATTGGACTAGTTTGTAAGTTTTGCGATTGCTCTGTATAAAAATATTTTGCATTTCCTTTTTCACAAAAATGGAAGGAAAATGTGTTTTTCCTTGGAATGTTATGGAAATTGTTAATTACTTGAATATCAGATTGAATTTTGTTGTTTAATGATCGATAATTTTTTATTTCTTGGGACTTTGGGGGCGCGGGATTACAGCTATCAAACTTATGGTGGCGAACCGTATATAAGATCAGCAGAGGAGATTGCATTTCATGTTGCTCTTTTCATTGCTGCAAAGAATGGGACCTATGTCAATTATTATATGGTATTGATATAAATCTCTCTCAATTTTTTGTGTGTTCCTATGAACTTAACAAAAGATGTACACATGTTTCATTTAAACCACAATCACTGTTCATTTTTTCATCTAGTATCATGGAGGAACCAACTTCGGAAGATCAGCCTCTGCATTCATGATCACAGGTTACTATGATCAAGCCCCCCTGGACGAATACGGTATGACATTTTTTAAAACTATTGCTCAACTGTTCGAATTTTGCATCAACTGAGTAATTGTTTACCACATTCTTACTGAAGGTTTAATTAGGGAACCAAAATGGGGCCATCTTAAAGAATTACATGCGGCAATTAAGCTATGCTCAAAGCCTTTGCTCACTGGAACAAAATCCAACTTCTCACTGGGCAAATCAATAGAAGTAAGTTTTATCATGTTAATAACATCATTCTATGCAATAAAAAGCTAATCCTACCGTCCAAGATGGAAATGGAATATCGTATACAATGAATGTAGGATAACTGGATAAAAATGAAAATGATTACTTATTGAGGTTGTAATTCTAGGAAATTGTAGACAATTGCTCATTTGTCTTTTTTGGCAGGCTATTGTATTCAAAACGAAGTCCGGAGAATGCGCTGCCTTTTTGGTGAATAAGGGAGCTACAGACATGAATGTCCTCTTTCAAAGTGTTACTTATGAGTTACCTCTAAGTTCCATCAGCATCTTACCTGATTGTAAAAATGTGGCCTTCAATACTAGAAGGGTAAGATTTACACTGGTAACTAGCGGGAAGTTTTTAGCAACAGTTATCTTTTTCCGCATAAATTTCAACCATTGAAATATATATGATCAGGTAAGCGTACAATATAATACGAGATCAATGAATGCAGTACAAAAGTTTGACTCAAATGTAGAATGGCAAGAGTTCAAGGAATCGATACCTAGCTTTGACGAAACTGATTTGAGAGCTAACGAGTTACTAGAGCATACAGATACTACAAAAGATAGTTCAGACTATCTTTGGTACACTTTAAGGTAAATTATAAGTGAGAAATCACGCGGCTGAGGTTAAAATCTTGAATAAGCAGAAGAATTGTTGGAAGTCAGAATGAACAAGTTCGCTTTCCGTTGCTTGCCACTGATGGTTGTGAAATGCAGGGTTGAAGCGGATTCTCCTGACTCTCAACAAACACTAAAAGTGGATTCGCTAGCTCATGCCATGCATGCATTTGTCAATGGGCTTTATGCAGGCTAGTTTTATCTTCCTTTGTATGGTTAAAAGCTCTATCAAACCACAATATCGAGAATTTCACTATTGATGTTTATAGGCTCCGCCCACGGAACTTACAAAGAAAAAGGGTTCTCTCTGGAGAATAATATTACGTTGAGAAATGGCATCAACAACATCTCATTGCTCAGTGTGATGGTTGGTTTACCGGTATGAATCTTCTTACCTTCCCTTACATGGTTGATGCATATTAATTTTGCATTACACCTTAGTGAATTCTAATAGCTATAATGTGAAGGATTCTGGGGCATTTCTTGAGAGCCGAGTCGCTGGACTGCGAAGAGTGAGGATTCAAGGCGAGGATTTCTCCACGCAACCTTGGGGATACAAGGTTCTTTAATTTTTTAACTCATAATATGAGTTCATACACACTTGAAGCCGATGTAATATTCTTTAAAAAATATACGTACATGTATCTTGTCGGTTTTTCTGAACAATTTTTCCATAGGTTGGCCTATCAGGAGAGCAATCGCAAATATTTTTAGACAGTGGGTCAAGTAATGCTCAGTGGAGCAGGTTAGGAGACTCTTCCCAGCCGCTCACATGGTACAAGGTACTACCGACAATCAATTTTTAGACTACTCTTTGCATAGCAACTATCCTGAATTCAGTGTTCATTAACTGACCTTTGTCATCATTAATTGGGCAGACTCAGTTCGATGCACCTCCTGGTGATGACCCAATTGCACTGAACCTTGGTTCCATGGGGAAGGGTGCAGTTTGGGTTAATGGCTGGGGTATTGGCCGATACTGGGTCTCCTTCCTCACCCCAACAGGGGAGCCTTCACAGAAATGGTAAACAGTTTATTCAGACCTTAATATCTGGTGTTATATTATATCTCACCTTTTGAAAATTCCTTTCATATTCTCTCCTTTGAATCCAGGTATAATGTTCCACGTTCCTTCCTCAAGCCGACTGGGAACCTGTTGGTCATTTTGGAAGAAGAAACAGGAAACCCAGTTGGGATATCTTTGGATTCTGTTTCAATTAGCAAAACATGTGGGCAAGTGTCTGAATCACATTATCCTCTAGTAGCTTCATGGATGAGTGCAAAGAAACAGAGGGCAAGTAGAACAAAGAACAAAAGCAGAAGGCCTAAGGTCCGATTAAGCTGCCCTACTAACAAGAACATCTCCAACATCTTATTTGCAAGCTTTGGGACACCGTCTGGTGACTGTCAAAGCTACGCTGTTGGAATGTGTCACTCGCCAAACTCCAGAGCCATTGTAGAACATGTGAGTAATTTCCTGAAACGCATTAGCATTCTATAAAGAGATTTGTATCTTGCATTAAATAAAAGGTATTCAAGACGACGACTCACATGAAAGCTTTGTGATGTTTCAGGCGTGTCTGGGGAGGGCTAAATGCGTGATTCCAATCTCGAATCGGAACTTTAGAGGCGATCCATGTCCATTTGTCACCAAAACACTGTTGGTTGATGCACAATGCACATAAATGATGGAAGATGTCTAGCATGAATGAAGCACATGGCAAGATAATTCACAGTAGCTTTCAATAGATACATAGCTTTAGCAATAATCATCTCCATGACCACAGCTTATTTCATTCTTTTAGGAGTCCTAGAAACAATCATGCAATACTTCAATTATTAATTGATTCATGTCAATGAAATGAAACCACAGTTCTCTAGTCACAGAAAATTCATCTTCTTTAACTAGATCACAATTAGTAGAAGGCTGGAATGTAGGACTTCCCCAAACATGGGGATTACATTTTGAATTCTTCCTCCAGGAGAATATGTCAACGAGCCAAAGCAAACCCGAACGAATTTCAAGAGCTATGCCAACACCTATGGATCTTGCTCTACAAGAAATCGGAATTAACATTAATGTCAAAAGCCTGAGACCAACTTAATATACCTATTCACATTGATCTATATTTACCAGTATGTGCCTTTTCTATCTGCTCCTTTGTAGATTTTTTCCTTTTGGTATACTCAAGACTTGCAGGTAAGAGGGCCTTCTGTTGAGGTAAATCAGCGACGAAGAGCAGAGTTTGAGCCCAACCAGCATATTTTCCATACTTGCTGACAAATGCCTCAGCCACACGATTGCACAGCTTTGGCGTTAGACGGGCACCAGCAAGCTCAGGGACAAGGTACCTAGTAGCTATCTTTTCATCACATACAAGAATAAACTTAAAATCAATTTAGTTCATATGAAAGGAACTTGAATCATTTTAGTTCATATGAAAAGGGATATAGTACCTGCCAGACGTGTGTGTCAACAGGAATGGCGTGGTGCTGATCGAGAGAGAAGAGAGCAACACAAGCTGCTACCTTTGGACCCACGCCCGGTAAAGCTGTAAGGGCTTCAATCACTTCGTCGAGATCCAAATCACGAAGAGACAGAAGCCATTCTGCACCTCCCCCAGGTTTGCCTTTTAGTTCTTTCACAGTGCCAATTATGTATTTAGCCCTGCTTATTCACATTATGCTATCAATAAAAGTGTTCCCATCCCCACAGATAGAGATAGTGATTGATTTCTTAGATCAAATTAGTATTGGAATTGAGAGATTAACCTGTAACCAAAGCCTGCCTCTCTAAGCTCAGCCTCAGAGACCAAGGATAGCCTCTCCAAAGAGGGGAATTCATGGAAATCAAAGCCTCCAATATTACCCAAATGATTCCCAAGTGATGAGATGTAATCCACCATTTTGGTGATTCTTCCAATATTGTTATTTGAAGAACACAAAAACTGAATCAAACACTCGAGTGGGTCTTGCCTGAGAACTCGAGCCCCCTCCAAATGGCAAGACAAGACATCGAATCTTGGATCAGCCGCCGAGAAGACCTCCCAAATGGCTCTTAGGGAGATACCGGCGTTAAGGAAATCAAGCAAGGCCAATCTGGCGGCGGCGGCGGCGGAGGAGGAGGAGGATGTAGAACAAAAGTGAAGGCAATATGAAACGTCGCCATTTGGGAGATGGGTGAGAGAGATAAGATGAGGCCCAACAACGCCGGTGAAGTGAAGGGGGCTGGTTTGTTTCCAGCGGAAGGTTTGGCCGGTGGGGAAAGTGAGAGGCAAAGAGAGGTCTGATCTGGTGAGATTTAGAGAGACCCAGTTGGAGGATGATGCGGATGCGGGGGATACGAGGTGGGTTAGGGTTTTGCTTCGATCGTTGGATGAGTGGCGGAGGGACACGGTGGTGGGCTTTGAATGGAAGAGTTGAGGGGTCGGAGGAGACGGCGGCAATGACGGTGGCGATGGCGATGGCGATGGCTTGGCGGAGGGAGTGGAGGGTGGGGTGGGTCTGAGCCTCTTCGCCATTAGATGGTGTCTCAATGACAATGAAGGCATTGGTAAGTGGCGCTTCCTTTAAAATATTGACCACCAACGACCAAACTGAACGGTCAATTGTTTGAATTCTCGAGGAAACATCAAGATCTTATCCATACTTTTGTTGGTCTAAATTATGTTAAATATGTTTTGAGTTCAATACAAATGTATATAGAGAAGTAAAAAATATTAATATAATCAACTAAATTATGCTCTAACTTAATTCAATAATTTAGGAATTTGAACTATTTTCATCCTCCTAAAATCAAAATGTTTGGGGTATAATTCGAATAGACCAAATTAAACAATTTCTATGATAATGGTAAAACCAGGGCTAAAAAGGTAATTTACTAACTATTTTAATGTATTAAAATTATATTGGAGGGTGGAGTGACGAGAGTCCGTCTCGCATTCGCATCCTTTCCAAATAAGCGGTTGAGATCTTGGTCGTCCAAATTGACGGTCCAGATCCTTTGTCTTGAACCAACGATTTCGCGCGGAAATATGGCCTCGAACCATCCATCATCTCGTGCAGCACAGAACCGCCGAGCTTTTTTTTCTTTCTTGTGTTTGTTCCTCAGTTCGTTTCTGTACTGTTACTCTCTTCTTCCATTCCATTAAGTTTTTGTGATTCCAGTTATGAGTTTAGCTTGAATCGATTGGATGAACAGGAACTAGTTCGAAGCACCGGGGAAATTTCCGATCGAGATCGAACTAGTTTCTTTGGAAGATTCTTTTCGGTGAAGGCTAAATCGGCGGACGTTCTTATATCTTCCTCAACACGCTCCTATGGTGAGTATTTTCGTTGAATGTTTATTCATTTGATTCTTCATCGTAGTGCCAAACAAATATATTATGATGATCAATTTGTATCAGTTGCGATTTTGTTTGAGGTAGCATCAGTTGTGAATTTGCGATTGCGGTTTCAGCTTTTTTTTTGGAAATGATTATTAGTTTCCTTTTCACTGGCTTCAAAGTGTGTAGGATAGTTAAGAATGTTTGTGAAAATAGATCTGGGAGTAAAAAACCATAAGATTGCACTAACTAATAAAATTGGAGATTTGGGAGAATATTCTGGACATGAAACTCACTGGAAAATGACGAATCTCATGAAAGAAGAACATTTCAATGTGTTTGTTGAATATTTTGAGGGCAATGATGGAGTTGTGTCAAACAAAAACTGAAGAGAATTTTTGGCTTTAATTACTTCGATGAAGAAGATGAAATTTTATCTTGTTTGGAAAGATTTTATATACTGATATTGAAGAAATTCTCAGCTCTGAACATTATTTTCTTTGCCAAATTATACTTCCACTAACAGGATTTCTTTTGATAAAGTTTACATTCAACAAGTTTATCGCCTTTATTTTTTTAATTCTACTTCTTCCATCAATACATTCCCTCAGTTTTCTTATCTGAATTGGATTCCCTATGCATTACTTCTTCTATCTAACCTCTGATATATATCAATGTGTCAAGGTGCTTATTGCTTGTGAAGTGCTACGCAGTTCTCGTTTTTGTGTAGCAAAGGAAAATTGCAATCAACATAAGGTACGATCAAGGTAAGTGTGAATTGTTTTTGTGGTTTAAAAATTATATATGCAGAAGCAAATTAGAATAGAAATTAGCAGATCTCATAGTGTTAGATACAAAATTGAAAGTTTAACGTTGACATACTTATTTGAAAATATAGAAATATTATTATTGATATAATTAAATTACATAATTCATTAGTTAAAGCTTCTAAGTTTAATGGTTTACCTAACATAGTTTTAGAGTAAGAAATTTGGTGTTCCAACTCTTCAATCTCATTTCTTTTTTACTTAATATTGATTTTTTTTCTCTATTTTTGTGATATTTAAATTAAATTTATTAGACACGATATTTTTGTGTCAAGTCTTAGAAACACTACTAGTCTATGTCTGTTTGAAAAGGCATTTGCAAAGACATTTTGAAAAAGGGTAGGCTCATTCTATTGGCATAGTCGTATAGTGTTGAGAATTGTTGGGAGTGAGTCACACCATGGTTAATTTAAGGAATGATCATGAGTTTATAAGTAAAGGAATACATCTCAATTGGTATGAGACTTTTTGGGGAAACTTAAGCAAAACCATAAGAACTTAAGCTCAAAATGGATAATATCATACCATTATAGACATCCATGTTTTCTAACATGTATTTATACTTATACTGTTTTTTCCTTTGTGTTATTTTGGTTTATTTATCCTTTTTTTGTTCTTGGAAAATCCATTTTTAAGGGGAGGAAAAAAAAAATATATAATTAAGAACAATGGAGTGTTTATGGCAATTAGCTTTACACAAAATTAATTGCTGTTGAATAGGCTACACAATTAGAGGTCGACCTCACAAAATATTATTAATGAAAGACAGTAAGTTAAACAAAATACAAGTCTCTATCAAAGTAGACTCTATTTGAGAGTACTTTGTGATACCTCTTGATCCAATTTGCCTTTGCTTCTTTGCCTTTCTTTTTTACATAAAAACTAAGTTTGAAAGTAATGTTTGCAGATCAAAAGATTTGTACATTGGTGTGGTGCTAAATTACTGACACTCATAAGTTCAATTTGATATCGAAGGTGTGAATAAAGATTTTTTTGGGTAATGTAACAGAGGATGAGACTCTGTGATCCTTCGAAGATATCTCTAAAATTTTGAAATTCTTTAGGTATGAGCTTATTAGGGGAGAAGAAGGGGCATACGATCGCCAACCATGACCATTAGCTTCAACCAACTTATAAGGGTTGGCTAGGCATAGTTGACTCACGTAGGTTAGCTCACTACCTAAGGATGATTGGCTTGTGTGACTTTTACTATGAATCACGAACCTCTACAATTGTATGATATTATCTCCTTTGAATATATAAACTCACGATCAACTTCTTAATTAGCCAATGTGAGACTTTTCTCTCAATAATGCTCAACAACATTGTCATCGATGACCAATCCATTTAGACAAATCATACTATTTCAGTCTTAAAGCCTGTCAGTAGAATTTTGGACATGATCTTATGTAGCTTGAAAAGGATAACAATAAGGACACAAAACATGCACGAGCCTAAATTCCCCAACAACCACCAAGTCGGAAGGATTTAAGTAGCTCTTGCTGTAGCACTCACTGTCAACACATTGGACCAATCACAACCAGCATTTTCCGTAGATTAAGCGAAATTGTTCTTTTTTTTTTTTTTGTAATGAAAAAAGAAAATATATAAAATAAAAACAGTTTCCCATTTGAATTCAAAATTCAAAGCTACTAAAATTTGAATTAGCATTGGTGGCACTGCCTCTGAGTTCGAAACCCAATAAACAACAAAAGTCCAAACTTATAAGAAAATATTGAAACATATAAGACAATTAGCCCTTATTTATTTATTTTTATTTTTAATGGGTTTTCTATATCTAATTCTAAATAATTTTACTACGAAAATAAAGAAACTTGTCTAACGTTAACGAAGTAAATGTTTTTTTTTTATTTTGTTATGGGGAGATAAAAAAAAAAAAAAGAATCTATAATTAATTGCATAAGGACAAAATGGGGAAATTAAAAATTCAAGGACAAAAAAGTAAATAAACTTTAAGTAGTATCTTGTATTTAGTCCATTTTTTTAAAGAGTCAATCTAAATATAATTTAATAGATATTTTATTCAATTTTAAATTTTACTTCTACAAAACTAAAAAATCAAAATTAACAAGTTCAATTAAAAAATTAATTAGAAATAAAATCTTCTATATATATTTTTAAAACAAAAAGGACATTTTAAAATAATTGTTCTTTTCCTTTCCTCTTGAAATTTGTGTAAAAATTCCCCTTTTTAACCTTTTCAAGTATGCCCTAATTTTAACTTTTTATTTATTTATTTAAGAAATTAATATTTTAATCTTAAATTTGAAAGAAGCCTATTTCTCAATTATATTCCATACTAGTTCAATAAATGCATAACTTAATTATTTTAGTTTATTAAAAAAAAAGTTTCTTTATTGGTAAATAATTTATAATATATCAATTTAAAATATCGTGTCAATATATTTTTTGCCAATAGAATAAAATACCATATATTTTGCTTACAAATAAAGTAATAAATCATAATTTGATCTTTGACTTATCTTTTCTTTCATTATCCCGAAGTTAAAGAGTTATTTATTTTTGGTGTAATAAGATTTTATTTAATAATTTCCATAAATTCGTGACTAACCTAATCTTATTTTTATTTTTATTTATAAAAAAAAAAAAAACAATTCTTCTCTCTCTTGCAGCGTAGGAGAGAGAAAGAGAAATGGATGCGTTCAGTGACCGTTTTGAATTCAAATTCAAATAAACTTGAATTCTAATCTGACAGCACTGTGACTTACCAATGTTGCAAAAAGGCCCCCACACAGTCCCGACAACCCCGAGATGTAAAGGCAATGGGAAGCGACAGATGGCGGTATTCCATTTGTCTGTGATGCTCCAAACGAAACCCACAGGCGAAGCCAAGTAGACTAAATGGGCCCCGCCTCCGATGTCGAGTCCTAACGAATACCGAGAGGCGAATCGACGGTCAGGAAGTGCCGGAATTCAAAATCATCCAAATTCCGCGCCCTAAAGCAAAAGAAAACTGTAATTAAAACCCCCCTTTATTATAAATCACACTTCCCATCTTGCTCACTTTCGATAACGCTCTCTTCTTCTTCTTTCTTCTTCCTTTTTCTCTCTGATTCTGATCTTCAAAATCAAATTTCCATTAATCAAATTTTCCAAGAACTTCAATTCTTTTTTGTTCTTTTGGTGTTTAATTTTTGATTCTTTGCTTTCTTGGCGTTTCTCTCTTACGCCAAGAAGGTTTTGAAGTTGGAATTGAAGAGAAATTTGTGCGAATTTATTAGTCTTTTTTTTTGAATTTGACTCTTAAATTCTCAACTGCGTTCGATCCGATCCGCCATGTCCGCTCATAATCGCCGCCCGTCATTTTCGTCGTCGACGTCGTCGTCGTTGGCTAAACGACAAGCGTCGTCGGCCTCGTCGTCCGATAATGTCGGAAAGGTTGTGGCAGTTCCGCCACACTTGGCGAAGAAGCGAGCGCCACTCGGTAACCTAACGAATCTCAAGAGTGTGTCTCATACTGCTGCTAAAAGCTCTGTTCCGCCTGCTATGGTACTTAATTGCTTGCAAAGGAGTCTTGATGATTTTTGTTCTATGGTTTCTTTTCATTTGTGGGAGTTGATGTTTTTCTTTCAGTAGGGTTTGATTTTGTTTATGGGTGTTTCTGAAATGAATTGCATATTATTGGGATTGTTCAACGATGCTTTAAATTGCTTGAGACAGAGTGATAATGGATGAAAGATGTCCCCTGTTTGTTTGTAGCTCACTTTTGTTGGCTGTCTGGATCATACCCATAACTTGAACAGAGTTTTCTTAGTATATCCCTGTATGTTTTTCCTTGTTAATAAAAAAACTTAGCAAGCTGAGCTTAAAATTATGGGCGGATTCTTAACAAGAAGGGGTCTAGATTCCTGAAACAATTTTATATTCAACATATCACTTATCAGTCTTTTTGGGTAGCTTAGGAAACACTATACTGATTTTTTTAGCAGTGTTTACATGTTCTTGTAGCTGTGTTTGTTTCCTTTCGAAGCAACAAGTACGAGAATTGAAAAACATTTTTGATGTCGTTATATAAAATGATTTTTTTTTTACGAAGTCCTTGGATTTAAAATTTGGATATCATTGTGGGTCAACCCTTTTCTTTAGTGTATGACAGCATCATGTGCCTCATTGTTTGTTTAAATCCAATGATTCTAAAGCGTTCCTAAATGAAATTTCATATTTGCAGGTGCCTTGTGCAACCAAAGCTGTCAAGGCAAGGAAGAGTTCCCCTGCTAGAACTCGCATTGGTAACTTGCCGGCGGTGACTCATACAGCCACATTGATTGATGTCAAAACGACGAATTCAATTGTCCCTAGCAATGTTCCAGCAATCTCAAGAACTGATGCCACCGCCGTCTCTAGTAGTATGGATGTCTCTCCGACTAAATCAGATGGAGTGTCACTTTCCTTAGATGAAACTATGTCTACTTGTGATTCTTTTAAGAGTCCCGACGTTGAGTACATGGACAATACTGATGTCCCAGCTGTTGATTCCGTTGAGAGGAAAACTAAAACCAGTCTCTGCATTTCAGGTCATCCACCAATTAAAGGTGAGCTCATGGATAAGCTTTTAAGATTTGCAGCATCTGCCAGTGTTCTTAATTGATTGTATTTTGCTTGGTTCCCTTTGTAGGTAGCATATGCAATAGAGATGCACTTGCTGAAATGGAAACAGATAGCGATATCATTGATGTTGATACCGATTTCATGGATCCCCAGCAATGTGCTACAATTGCTTGTGATATTTACAAGCACTTGCGAGCATCTGAGGTAATGATCTTCTTCTTCAGTAAAAAGTTTAAAATTTTACCATTATATATCTGTTCCTAATTGTTTAATATGTTGTTGGTTCAGGCTAAGAAAAGGCCTTCTACAGATTTCATGGAGAAAATTCAGAAGGATGTAAATTCAAATATGCGTGCCATACTGATTGATTGGCTTGTGGAGGTAGCAGAAGAGTATAGGCTTGTGCCAGATACTTTATATTTGACAGTGAACTACATCGATCGATACCTATCGGGAAACTTGATGGATCGACAACGATTACAGTTGCTTGGTGTTGCTTGCATGATGATTGCTTCGTAAGAATTCTCAATACCCTATTAATGCTTGGTTGTTGATTTTGATAGTCTGATGTTCAATAGTAAGTTTGCGTTGTTCTTCCAGAAAATATGAAGAGATCTGTGCACCTCAAGTGGAAGAATTTTGTTACATAACTGATAACACATACTTTAAAGAAGAGGTATTGCAAATGGAATCTTCTGTCTTGAATTACTTGAAGTTTGAAATGACGGCTCCAACACCGAAATGTTTCTTAAGGTAAAGTCAGCGATTGTGATGTTGGCAATGTTTTTTTGTTCAATGAACTCATAATTCTGATTCGTCGATTCATCATAGGCGATTTGTTCGAGCTGCTCAAGGGTCCACCGATGAGGTTTCGTCGATGCAGCTGGAATGCTTGTCCAACTTCCTAGCTGAATTATCTCTTTTGGAATACAGTATGCTATGCTACGCACCGTCGCTCGTAGCTGCGTCGGCAATCTTCTTGGCAAAGTTCATACTTGTCCCAACTAAGAGACCATGGGTATGATGAGAATCATCTATGTTCTTTGTTACAAAACTCCAACAAACCAATTACGCTTATAGAGTATGTCTGCTGTTGTTGTGATCTTTGGTACAGAACTCGACCTTGCAGCATTATACACATTATCAGCCATCCGACCTTGTCGAGTGCGTTAAGGATTTACATCGCCTCTGCTGTAACGCCCACAATTCTAGCTTACCAGCCATCAGAGAGAAATACAGCCAGCATAAGGTGAGCACAGTCTATTGATGTTAAGTTGTTCATTTGATCTTGTAATGCTCTTATACTGACTGATACTTTGATGGTTTTTGCCTCAGTACAAGCACGTGGCGAAGAAGTATTGCCCTCCGACGATACCGCCAGAGTTCTTCCAGACTCAAACACAGTAGATTTGTACTCCAATTGCGGCTCTGTTGGATTAGTAGCAGCCTGACTTAGCAGCAAAAGTTAGAGACTAGAACAAGACTAGAGAGACATAAAATACTCCCTTTGTAAGCTTTTGAATGTAGCCATAGCCAATGCCACTGGTTTTTTCTACATAATGTCGTCGGGATCTCCGCGGTTTGTTGTAATGTTGTAGCGAATTACTGAATACCAAAATGCTGAGATTTGTACAAAGAAAACATTCATATGTTGGAAATTGTCGGGAGGGAGTCCCACGTCGGCTAATGAAGAAGATGATCATGAGTTTATAAGTAAGAAATACATCTTAGGTTCAAAATGAACCATATCGAAAAAGGAATGATCTGAGATAAAACTTAGAGGGCAACTCAGAAATGTCTAAGCATTAAAAGCACTGCCATTATTTTTATACCAATATCTCAATTATGTTTATATATTACATTAGTGTACATGCTAATATGGGATTTTAGGTTTCGGATGGCCCAGTGACACCATTATGGGCTGCATCGAGGCCCGGTTAAGTCGGGCTTAATTTCATTCTGGGCCTTGTTCTTTTGATTCAGCCAGTGACAATCTTCAAAGCCACAGGGTTCCACGTCATATGAGTTCTGAACGTTGACAGGGCTGATGTAACGTGGGCTCCACGTGGGGGTCCCATCCTCGTAGGAGTTATGAGTCAGCCTCTGAAGATCGGAGCCGTCCATTTTGATGGTGAAGATCTCACCATAGGGTTGATAGTGATGTGGGTTCGAAATTGGCTCTGCAGATATCCCCGCGTTGTCCGTAGTGAACACTAGAACCTTCCCGTCCGGACTCCAATTCGGGTGGTTCGCTCGACCCGCCGAACCGCTTTGAAACAGCTTCCTCAACCCGGTTCCGTTTGGGTGGATCAAGAACAGATCGAAACTTCCGGCACCGGGATTGTGCCGGTCCGATGCAAATGCAATCCAGTCGCCGTCTGGCGACCAACTGCACATCGTATCCGTCCACTGGCCCTCTGTAAGCCGGTGAAGCGCTTTGTTCTCGCCGTCGACGGCGTCCATTATGTACAGGTTCTTGTAGCCCGATCGTCCCGACCGGAAAACGATCCATTTCCCGTCGGGGGACGGCGATGGGAAGGCGTTGTTTTCACCGTTCTTCGTCAGCTTCTTGATATTACTCTCGTCATCATCCACGTTGACTGAAATGATATCGACCTGTGAACTCAACGGCGCAAAATCAGGACCGGCGCTGGTGTATACTACACCTTCCCGCACTGGATCCCACGCCGTTGAGAACGCCGCGCCGGGGTAAACCTTCTGTTGATTCGAACCGTCCCGATGGATGACGTATAATCCGGGAAAGTTCACGAAAGCTATACGGTCACCTGCAGGCGAAAAAGATGGAAAAGAACCGTCGATTCTGAACAAGGATAAATTAGAAACTGGGCTACGAACGTTCTCTAAGAACAGGGTATTGCTTTTTCTTCCATTGCTGTCGCCCCTGCACTTGTGGTAACCGATACGAGTCCCGTCGGCGGAGATGAACGGATTGAAATGGTGAGAATTCGGTGAAACCACTTTTGTCAGCTCCTTGAATTCTCCGGTGACGAGATTGAACAACTCTATGTGGCGGAAAGACGAATCGGGTCTTCTCGAAGCGACAGCGATTAGGTTTTTATTGGCTGGAGAAGTGGCCGGAGTGAACACGTGCAAACCAGGTGGAGTGAGTCGTTCGATTATCACTGAATCGGTAGAAATTTCTCCATCACTCGGGAGAATCGCTCTATATATACTAAGCCACTGGTCATCGCCTCTCCGGTGAAAATAAAGAGTCGAATCGTCGGCCCAACACGGCCAGCCACCATGTTCGACGACCTTAACGCGACGAGTCCCGTCGCGAGTTAGGAAGATGTATATATCGGTACTTAGTTCCTCAACTTCGCCGGCCCAGCCCTTCTCGCCGTAGGAAGCTACAGCCGTCCAAACTCCCGATGGAGAAACAGAAGGGCTAAAGTCAGCGATTCCATAGGGCGTCAATCGCCGAGTTGTACCCGATCTTAAACTCCTTGAGTACACCGCCGCCCAACTCGTTCTGGACTCGCCAGGGTCCTCGTGAGTCGACACGTACACCAAATAATCGCCGCTTAAACTCGGCCGATCTTTGAAGGAAACCCTAACTTCGTTCTTCTGCTCATCATCCAAAAGGGGAATTTGCAGCCGATGAGGAATCTCGAGCGCCGACCGCCGTCTGGTACTAAATCCGGTACCACCGTAAATCGCATCGTAGAAGATTCTGGAGATTCCGTTTCTCTCTGTGACATAAACGAGTTCCAAATCCGGCCGTAAGGACTGTGATTGGTTCGTCAAAAGAGAGATAATCGAAGATGACGACGACGACGAAGGGAAATAGCCATTGAAATTGACGGATTCGCCATCGGTGATTAGGGTTTCATCCGCTGCAGAAGGGGCCCTGTTTTCATCGGCCGGGAGGGTGAAAACATCGAAGGCGTAGACGGACCTGCCAAGAGTGGTAAATACTATGCTGTCACCACCGCTAGCCGCAACCAACGACGGCGGAAGGAGAGAAGAAAACTGGAGAAGGAAACAGAGGAAAACCAGAGGCATGGTGGTAGTGAAGTCAGTTTGAGACTGGAAAGCGCGGAAAATCGCAATGATGTGGTGTACTGTCAACTGTGGTGGAAATAGGGGACACGTAGGCAGATAAGTGGGTCCTACTTATTTAGCATTTTGTTGACGTGGCAACGTCTGATTGGGTCTTCGACACGTTGACAGATAAGTGGGTCCTACTTATGCAGAATTCTACGCTGCGATAAGTTGGGGTTTTCCTAGATGGATTATATTTGATGGCTTGCTTACATTTCTCGTGGCTTTGATCTTGTGGCCTATGCTTGTGGAGATTCAGTTCATTCCGTCGTCATCAATGTATCCAACTCTTCGTATCGGAGATCGAATGCTTGTCGAGATGGTAAATGTCTTGAGTTCCTTTGGGTTCAAGTTGAGTTTTGGATATATCAATCAAATTATGAATCAACTTTGGTTTCTTCTGTTTTTCTGAGATGAATTTTGAAATTTAGGGTTCGAGTAGGTTTTAGGTGTATTTTTGTGCTTGTGGATTGAGATTTTAGCGTTGTTATGATAAAGCTTGATCGATTCAAGCTTCAAAATTATGTTTCGGTTATTTCTTATTCCAAGAAAGTAGATGAATCATGTGTATGAAGGTTGCATTACGAAACATAATCGCTGATAATTTCTCGTTAGTAGTCATTTTCATATCGAAGGAGAAAGAATCGAACGTCTTGGAAACAATATGCACATGAACAATCCAACGAATTTTGATCTCAGCAGTTAAGATGCAGGGATTATGACACTAATTCTTATGTCCTGGTTGCATTTTCTTCAGGCCTCTTATTACATCAGAAATCCTTCTATAGATGACATTATAACCTTCTGAGACCCGACACAGGTAAGTCGACGAACGACTCACCTGCATGTCTTTTAGTTCAACAGTTTTTCTCTAACATGATCCTGTTGAAATTATAGTGTGCTATAGCAATCTGGATGCAGAGAAGAGAACGTCGTTGTAAAGAGAGTTGTTGCAAAAGCCAGAGATGCGGTTAAGGTATGGAAGACCCTTCTTATCATTGTGTTAATGCTATGCAACTAAACTTTTGAACAGAACCAGTTTTATGAATGATTATCCACGTAACCGTCTAAGCCCATCGCTAATAGATATTATCTATTTTGGTTTGTTACGTTTTGTCGTCAGCCTCATGGTTTTAAAACGTGTATGCTAGGGAGAGATTTCCACGCTCTTATAAGAAATGCTCCGTTCCCCTCTCCAACCGATGTGGGAACTCACAATCCACTCCTTTGGGGACCCAGCGTCCTTGCTAGCACACCTCTCAGTGCCTGGCTATGATACCATTTATAACAACCAAATTTCATTGCTAGTAGATCTTGTCCGCTTTGGCCTATTACGTATTGTCATCAACCTCACAGTTTTAAAACACATCTGTTAGGGGGAGGTTTCCACACCCTTATAAGAAATTTATCGTTCTCCTCTCGAATCGATGTAGGATCTTATAGTCCATTTTTTGTACGCTAATAAATGTATACTCATAGCAACCCCTGACTGGTGGCTCTAGTAGCGAGGAATTGGGATGGTTGGTGTATCTAAGGTCCTAGACTCAAGCCTGTACAGAAGATTGCTATCTCTTAGAGCTGGTATTGGTAGGGTTGAAGCCTCCCAGAGATTAGTTCGGGTGAGCTATGAGCATAATGCAAAATATGGAACTCCTCAATGCTCCAATCGTAGTGTTAAAGTTAAAAGAATCTACACATTTATATGGTTATAATCCGTTTATGAGGATGATTGTACCTCACACCTGTCTTTAGATGAGAAAGCCCAACGATCCATTATATAGGAAATGCTATAACCCATTGTTCTTCTTTTGATGATGAACCTACTCCGGTACAACAAGTTAAAGGGACCTCTACGTTTCATCCCGGTGCATAGGGCCAAATTCCTTTAGAGAGCCCACGAGATGCCTCTATGTCAATGGAATTGCTCAGGATGAAAGCTTGTTAGCAGAGCGGCCAGCATATAACACAAAGGCAACTGTGAGTTTTGTTCAAACTCTACTTTCTTTTTTCATTTCACTGCACCATCCTGCAATTTTTTTTATCACAGCAATAAGACTTCTAAAGCACATCCTTAGAGATTTTATAGTCAAAACGAAATCTTCAAGGTGATTTGATTATGCATGATGAACCCATGTTCTTGACCAACTATCTCTTAATTCATGGCATCGATTTTTCTCGCAGCTAACTCGTTAATATTCTGGTCAGTTATTGGAATTAGACTTACTTACCCTCCTGACTAAAATCATACTAGTTTCCTACTGAATGCGAGGTCGAGTTTCTAGTTTGTACTTAGTTTTGCTTGTTCATAACTGGCAGCAAGTTCCAGAAGGCCGGTAACATTCTTGTCAGTTATTGGAATTAGACTTACTTACACCCCCTGACTAAAATTATACTAGTTTCCTACTGAATGCGACATCGAGTTTCTAGTTTGTACTTAGTTTTGCTTGTCCTGAACTGGCAGCAAGTTCCAGAAGGCCATGTTTACGTGTCGGGCGACAACCGCAACAACAGCTTCAGCTCCCATATTTGGTTAGTCTTATTAACTTCACGTTATATTATGTATGTTTGCTGGTTGT